CGAAACACCGCCCGCTTTTAAGGAGTCAGGGCAGTTTGAAATTTTCAATTTCGATTTTTCTTCTTTTTTTTCTGGCTTCAAATAATAGTTTAAAGTTGTTAGAAATAAGATACAAAAGATTCTAGCCTTTAAAACGATTTATTTTTGAGGTATAATGATAAATTCGCGGATACAGAATAATTGAATTTGTATCAATGTTTGCAACTTTAAGCAGTATTATTAAGTGTAAATCGTGTGATTCAAATATTATTTTCGGTGAATCGAATATTAGGGGACTTGGATTCAATTTAGTTTAGTGAATTGTAAGAACTGTGAGCCGCGATATATAAGTAAAAAAAGTAAGTAAAGGATACGTATGAAAAATGACGTTCCGAAACTTTAAACGCGTTTTTCTCGAAACCAGGCTTTTGGAAACGGTGTGCAAGATATCTCGAAATCTAACCAATCGATTACTGTGAAACTTGGTGGGTATCTTTAGTGTAACATTTACTAGGGATTGACGATCGAATATTTTTCAATTTTTAACAATTTCGAAAAATATAAACAAAAAACGTAAAAATTTTTGGCATAAATTCGATACATCAAAAACAAATAGCTGCCATTTTCATAATTTTCACAAAAACAAAAATGTTGAATCGTCAATCCCTAGAGAATATCGTTTACTTTTGAACTTTTTTTGCCTCTTTGTCGCAGCTAATCCTGTTTGGCTGGAATCATGCACACCGATAGGCAATGTAAAAAAAAGTTATGTAAAAAGATGCCGTTAAAAAGCCAAATAAGAGCCGTCTTTTTTTCTTTTTTAATGTTGCTTTTTATAGTTCATAATGTGTTAAATATAAATCACAAAAGCTCATGTCAATCAAATATGTACTTTTGTTTTACTAGCCCTCCAAAGTATTCGTAATTCTTAGGCCCGTGAAACTGTCCTGCCCACTTTAACCAGTTGCGCTGGCAACTGATTGCGGACCATAACGAGTGATCAAACCGTATACAACAATTCGTCGCTTTCTTTTCGAACCTGTCGGTATGACAGACACTGGATGGAAATTATTGAGAAGTAAGAAATTTATTATTTATTTTACCTACTCTGGGTTATACTTAAATATACTTATATATAATAATATTTTTATATAATAAATATATATATATATATAATATTATATTTACTTTTATTATTATTAATTATATAAAATATTATATTTAAAATATAAAATATTATATAAATATTATATTTATTATTATTAATTTATTATATAAAAATATATATAATAATATTATTTTATTTTTACTATTATTAATTATATAAAATGTAATTATAAAATATAATAAAATATAAAATATTATATTTAAAATAATATTAAAATATAAAATATTGTATAAATATTATATTCATTATTATTAATTTATTATATAAAAATATATATAATAATATTTTTAGGTAATAAATATATGTGTAAAAATATACTTAAATTAAATACACTTAAATATAAAACTGAGGAAATATTGCAATTTTGGGACAAAAAATTCTCGACGTGCGTGGCACGTCATTCCAACGCAAGAGGTTAAACAATTTTATCTCTCGGCACGCGAAAAAGAATCGAAAAGACCAGCTGTCTTGTCGACTTTACTTACTTACGAATGCAACTTTGGCAATGCAAATCGGCAAAAGCAAACGTAACATGGAAACGTCAATATTGAAGTGAGGATTCTATCGCTCACTTTCGTTTTGGAAACGACGTGTACCTTTCGTCTGATATTCCTCATTTGATATTCTTGATTCTTCAATAGTGAAACGTTGTTTCTCGCACGAGTAGGCAAACGTTCTCGAACTTAGACATAAGTTGGTGATTTTATTAAATAGTAAGAAAAATTCTCTCTCACTGACATTGATTTATAGAGGCTGTTAACGACGGAGCCATTGAACAGTTTTTAAGGCCCGATTGAAATTCGTTAGGTTTCCATACCATCGTTTGAGTTTTCGTGACGAAATAGAGGAATTTTTTATTTAAAAAAAAGAGGCGCGAAATATTTAGATTTAAAACAATTTTCAAGAAATTTCAGATTCAGAACATTTTCGATCGTAAGCCCCAAGATAATACGTGATATTTGGGAAATTTTATGAAATTACGGAACCGCAGACAGTCTCTTCCGTCGGATAAATTTTCGCCGTGGAAATCTCGACGAACGTTTCGTAATTTCGGGATTAATTAAATCACTCGATATTTCGCGAAATCGCACAGGGATTGCGAATTCAATCCAGGCCAAATATCGGTCTTCTTTATTAACATAAAGTAATCAGCTACACGAACGCAGACGAACGCGTTATTGCGCATGCCGAGCGACCTAAAACGAAGAATCTACGCTTCGAGCCCGTCATTTCGCGACCGGACTATGAATGAGCCTGTTCACGCGCTCACGACGCTGCGCGAAGGTGAAGGCATTGCCATCGTAAATGCAGATGCTATTTTGCTGCAAACAAAACGCGGCGAAGAGCCTAGCGAAGCGACAACGCTCGACTTGAAGAAAGTTAAAAATTGAGGCCTCGTACGTGCACAAATGAAATTTGTATTGAAAGTACAACGTACTGTGCATTAAACACTCGTCTATCTTGGAACCAAGTCACATTTTTTTGACTGACGAGTGACAATTAAACGTATGGTCAAAATCTGCCGAAGATTGAGCACTTAACGAAATATAATTCTCGACTGAAGAAGATTAATAATTGATATTTCATACGTGTATGAATAAAATTTGTATAGAAAACGTACCCTGTATCTATTCTAGAAGCAAGTTGTATGTTTCGACTGAGGTCGAAAATTAAAATTGAAATTGGATAAATGTGTAGTTGAAACCTTCTAAAAATTAAGAACTTAGGAATAAACAATGTTTGACTGAAGAAAGTTAAAAATTGATATTTCAATTTTTTGTATGAATAAAATTTGTATTCCGTAATCTGTTTTAAAACTTCAAATCACATTTTCTAACTAAGAAGTTAAAACTAAATGAATACATAACTAAAATCTTTCAGAGAGTCTGAATTTCTATTTAAATCTCGTATTATCGTCACTTTTCTTCCAACAAACGAAATACGTTTCGTTTCGACGGAAATAAAAAAAAGAATACGAATATCTGAAGAAATCCCAAATAGGTCTAGTTTCATTAAACCACTTCTTTGATAACAGAAATACCAGAAGCGCCTCATTAATTCACCGAGCAATTGTACAGAGTAAAATCGAGACTCACTGTCGTTTAAATAACCACAAGCGGCATTCTACGCAGTGGAATCTCGCTTCTGCATTTGCATACACGCCAACAGAAATCACCAGACGATAATTATTACGCAACCTGTCGATTAGCAGCGCGCGTCAAGAACACAACTATTACTTCAAGCATAATTAATTCAAACTACCTCTGTCACTCTCGTAACGTATATATTTTTTAAATTTATTTTTGTATACCAAAGCGTTTCATTATTCTTGAGTGATAAATGATAAACGAAACGAAGCGATGTTGATCCGTGTTAAGATCGAAGCTCGTGTTTTGAATAACAAGTAAACTGAAGTAGTATAATTTTATTCGAGTTTGTCCTGTTGGAGCATTACGTTGCCAAGATCGATTCATCATATTTTGAATGATAAGTAGGATGGAGTGAAATAATGCTAGTTCATATCTCGTTAATATCGTAAATATAAATTATTATACAATAACATTATATAAACATAAATTACTATATAATAATATTATATTTATACAATATTATTACATAAATATAAATTATTATGTAAATTAATATTTAACTGGAAACGGATAATTATTATATAAATGTAAATTATTATATAATATTACTATACATAAATATACATTTATATATATAAAACATTACTATATATATTACTTGTATAAATAAATATTATTATATAAATATAAATTATTATACAATAATATTACGTAAACATAAATTACTATATAATAATACTATATTTATACAATATTATTACATAAATATAAATTATTATATATATTACTTGTATAAATAAACATTATTATATAAATATAAATTATTGTACAATAATATCACACAAATTATTATATAATAACATTATATTATATACAATATTATTACATAAATATAAATTATTATATAAATTACTATTGATTTCTATTTAAATGGAAGCGGTTAATTATTATCATTCAAAATCGCAATGATTCATATGTATTAAAGACCGGCCAAATTAGAGAGTCAATTTAAATTACTCTCGCACCTTTTTCAAAAATCTTATTCCCCTCTCTCCCCCCAACTATGTCCACACAATCGAAAAATAATTCGGATCCTCGATCGGACGGAATATGCGAAACGAAACAAAGAAAATAAACCGATTGGTTCTATTCTATCGATATCGATGCTCACGTACGCACGTACGGTACATACATACGTTCACCCGGCAGCGGGAGCATGAAATCACGCTGACGTCACGAGAGTAGCAACACTCACCCAGTGTCCCCGATGTAATCCAGCATGCGTATCTTCAGCATCTCCGCGGGATGGTCGAACGGCGAACGACGAGCGGCATACGAGGAGGATTCCCAAGGTGAGCCGAGCCGAATTGCGATTCGAAGTTGCGGCGAGCTTGTGGGAATCGCGCGCTGAAGACCGTGGAACGTTGGAAAACGGCCGGAAGGTGACCGATATCGACCGAGGAGTCTAACGCGAGGAATCAAACGGTACCACGTCCCCGAAGCCTCGAATCGAACACGCGTATACGTGACCCGCGATACGTTCGGCACGCGTGCAGCAAGGACGTCTCAGCCAGGTCCGAATCGCGCACCGCACTGAATCAAATCGATTCGAAAAGAAAACTTCCTCTGTGGAAGTTATCACGGACGACGTGGATCTCCCTCTCTTTCTCTCTTGTCTCTTTCGAATCTCTGTCGAAGAGCACGCCAGTTATTTATCGCGATGGTTCGTTCGTGCGTGGATTTTATCTTATTGGACTTGATGGTTTATCGAGCCACATCGAGTCGTTTCGCAAACAAACGAGTGTTTTTTCTTTTTTTTTTTATTTATTTAAGATGTATCGCTCGATGATGTCGATAATTCATTTCAAAATTGTCGATTGTTTCGTACATTTGTCAAGTCCACGTTCGACGACTGATCTTGTGTCGCAAACTTGAATGAAGAAGGTGCAAACAGTTCGAAAGAAGCGTCTTAATTATCAAGTTCACTTGTAAAATAGGCAGTAGAATATTCACTCGAGCCACTTGACGATCTCTTGCTTCGCGGTTTGTTAAATCACTCGCGATTCGTTCGACAATGAATTTCCAATTGTCATCGCAAACAAACGAGTGTTTATTTTTATTTAAGATGTGTCGTTCGATGAAGTCGATAATTCATTTCAAAACTGTCGATCCTGTACATTTATCAAGTCCACGTTCGACGACTGACCCTGTGTCGCAATCTTGAATTGCAGAAGGTGCAAACAATTCGAAAGGAACGTCTTAATTATCAAGACGCTGTTCACTTGTAAAATAGGCAGTAGAATATTCACTCGAACCACTTGCTTCGCGGTTTATTAAATCAATCACGATGAATTTCCAATTGTCGTCGCAAACAAACGAGTGTTTTTTTTTTTTTTTTTATTTAAGATGTGTCGTTCGATGAAGTCGATAATTCATTTCAAAACTGTCCATTTATCAAGTCCACGTTCAATATTCGATCTTGTGTCGTAATCCTGACTGCAGAGGAGCGTCTTAATTATCAAGACGTGTCGTTTGATCAAGGTTCACTTAAAAATTGGCAGTGTGTAGTAACTTGTGCACGATCTCTCGTTTCGTGGTTCGTTAAGTCGCTGAAAATCGTAAATCGTTCGACTGATGTCAAATCGTGATCCCAAGCGTGGAAAGGCAGGAAACAAACGCGAAAAGAAACACGCACCGGCGGTGTTTAATTAATCCGACGTGTGTCGTACGATCGAGTCCATTCAAAGATCGATTTACGACAATATACGATTTTCATCCTCTCCGTCGAGCTTCCGTCGAGCTGGTGCGCGATGCTTAACGTTCGAATCCCCTCGAGTGTTTAATCGGAGGCCTGTGTCGGACGGCAGAAAAAAGCGAACTGAGTCAGACCGTTTCCGCTAGCCATTCGCGGCAACCAGCCGCGCGATGTATAGTGACGGGGGACTATGAAACACTTTGGATCGTTTCGAACCTGTGCGATAAGTAAAAAGAAAAAGAAAGAAAAAAAAAAATTCGAATCTCGAACGTAATACGAAATGTGAAGCTCTCTGAAAGTTTGGAAGTTCGAGCATCCGGTAACTATGAAATTTCCATACTTTCCGCAACACCGATGACGAAACAGGAAACTGTGAGATATACTAAATACTCGTCGCGCAACTTTCAGCACTTTTCGAGAACGACATTTCAACGACGTATCAGGACATTTCGAAAGTTCAAAGTTTTTAGCTTTCAGTTAACGCTAGAACAATTGAAATGTAAAATTGGCATCAGTGAAGAAAAGTACATTTTACGAAAAATTGTTACACCTGTTGTTTTACATTTGTAAAACTTTCTAGCAAAAATTGATGATCGTTTTGACCATTTTGATAATACTATAGTGTTAATCTCGATATTAATTGATCTCGATGTATCGCTGGCGATAGATTAATAATGGAAGATTAATAATGGAATTTCACTAAGCATATAGATAATTATTTAAACATTCTAATGATGATTGATCTTTCAAAAATAATATAAATTAAAAATAACAATCTATTTATTGAAATCATCGATCCTAAAGATGTTAAGAAATTTCAATGATAAAACTCTGGATAATCAGAATATCACCGAGATATTCCTAAAATGTTGAAGATCAACACCAATAAATATTTCAAAAAATTGAAATTTTCATTATTTCTGATCTATCAAGAATCGTGAAATTGAAGAACATCAACCATGTTCGAACGACGCGTCGTGAAACTTTGACAAGGTCAGCCAGCATCTTTCACAGAAACGGCCAAGCCGAGATTCATTTCTTAAGAGTCTCTCCCTCGTTCGACGATCGCTCTGATTCTACCGCGCTTGAATATTCGAGAGAGACCTTGTAATTCACCTCAAAGGGTAGATAAAGGCGCATTATCGGCGAGGCAAGGTCGCCGAGCGAGAAACAAGGCGAAAGAAAAAGTCCAAACACGGCGGGATTTCTATTGCGACATTTACATTTAACGAATGATCCACTTAGAGGAGTCGATCGTGGAACGGCGCCGGTGATTTATGCGGGAAACGCGTTCCGAGAACCACGACCTCGAGACATTTCAATTACGTTATCGCGGTGACCAACGACGAATGCCGGACACCTGACTCGACCGATGAAACTCTCGCGCATCCGACGATTTTCTTCTCGCCCTCTTGGTCACTCGACGTTTCCCGATTAACGAACGGATCCGTGTCGAACGATCCGAATCGAGCAACGAAAGAGAATACGAGCTTCAGCACTCGAACCTCATCTTTCAGTCTTAACCGCTTGCGCTGGCAACTGGACTGCGGACCATAACGAGTGACCAAACCAAGTGTACGACAACTCGTCGCTTTCTTTCTTGAACTCGTCAATATGGATAGAAATTATTGAGAAGTGATAAATTTATTATTTGTTTTGCCCGGGTTATACTTAACTATACTTATATATAATAATACTTTTATATAATAAATATATATATATATAAATATATAATATTATATTTATTTTTATTATTATTAATTATATAAAATATTATATAAAAATATATATAATAATATTATTTTATTTTCACTATTATTAATTATATAAAATGTAATTATAAAATATAATAAAATATAAAATATTATATTTAAAATAATATTAAAATATAAAATATTATATAAATATTATATTTGTTATTATTAATTTATTATATAAAAATATATATAATAATATTTTTATATAATAAATATATGTATAAAAAAATACTTAAATTAAATACACTTAAATATAAAAACCGAGGAAATATTGCAATTTTGGGAGAAAAAATTCTCGGTGTGAAAAATTCATGTCATTCCAGCGCAAGAGGTTAACACTTTACACTCGACTGTCCTTTCTGAAAAGACATCGCACTTCTAAATCTGGCCAACGGCTCTTCAGAACTTGTTCTTTTTATAATTTTCTGATAGTTATAACGAACATGGTTACATTTGGCGTTGTATAATAGTACAATATCTAAACAGACGTCCAAACAGAAGAACAAAACAAACAAACATTCAGGAGAAGAAATTTCTCAAGATCTAAATGAGTCAACTTGACATTATGATAATTCACATAATTTGGAATAATTCACAGGCTCCTTATAACAGTTTAGAAAATGGTGGAGTATATTATTTTTCCAAAGACTGAAACTATGTACTACCACTTGTTCCAGCAAACCCACAATGCACGTTGACGATTGCCTTAAATTTAAATTTGACGATTTCAGTAATTATTCCCATTGCTATATCATTTTATTTGAAGTGATGAAACGAGCAAAATATCGAAATAAAAAATGGCTGACGTCCTCGCGAGACATTGACGACCCACGATATCCTGATTGCATCACGAACCGCCGAATCGAAAGTGACTCGTTCGCGCGACGAGTTATTAAAAGCGAACGTCGAACGTGCGATGGTTATTTTATTGCTCCTTTTTTTCGTTTCAAACGACGATAATTTATTCCACCGTGATTTATTAATTTATCTATTATGCACGATGCAGTCGACGCGCATCCACGTCATTTCGTCGATAAAAACATCCGTTGAGTTTTTGATGCGCGTGACAACCACGGGCTTTTAGCTTCAGATCATTCTTCCTTCTTTTTTCTTTTTTTTTTTTTTATATCGTTTGTACGTAACTGTTGATGCAACATTGTCCTTGTCAGCAAAAATTGTAAAAAAGAGTATCAAACGATACTGAGTCATGCTGCGTCTCTGTGAGTAAAGTTAAAAAACATGGCTTTTTCTTTTTCTTTCTTATTTTTTTTTTTTTTTGCAAGCGCCATCGGTTTCAGTTTCAACAAATCGTTCTGTCGAGTTATACTACAAGCGAAAGATAGAAGGCAAGGCCACTCGATGCTGGATACTTCCCGAGATATTTCTGTTTCATCTTTCTTTACCATCGTTACAAGGAAATAAAGTATTGTTCGAGCCACGGGCGACACCACGGTCATACTTGTTCCATTAATAATCACTGTGACCTACGGTGTTGTATCTGAAGAGCAGAGAAATGTCAATTCACGAAATGTTAATTAAACGAATTTTTTTATATTGATCCAGGAATATTTCCTTTTCTCCGCCAATTTCTTATTTGATTCGTTGATTTTCGTGACGCTTAGAGTGAAAATAGTTAATTTGTCAACGTCTTCTTGACGAATTAACGCCTTGAATTTATTCATTTTAAGCGATTCTGTCACCAATCATAGTTACCAGTCACTAATTAGTCAGAATTATTAGGTCACTAACTAGTCCGAATTATCAGTTTCATTTCAAGCGATGCAATAGAATTTACGCAAAGAATATCGTACGCGGAAAAAGTATGTAATCACATTCGAACGAGATATACGAGGAAAGAAACGTTGCAGCACGTCGAGACGTTACAACTTGTTGAACAATACAGGAATTTTCTTCTTCGCCGCTGTTCTCTAACTTCTGACCTAGTTGCTGGAATCATCCAGTATACAGAAACGAATGTTTTATGCATTTTCACCGAAGGAGGCGTTACACATTTGAATGCATCTGCTCGTAAAATATCTATCTACTTTGCCCGGCCGTGGTGGCTTTTCGTTTGTGTTCGAAAGGAATTTAAAGGAAGAAACGAAGCTAATTAACAAGTTCTCGTAACACGCTCTGTCGATGGGGAAAAAAAAAGAAAAGAACTTGGAAAGTGAAAGTACACTTCGTTCGATTTGAAAAAAGAAAATATGCAACGACACATAACAGCATATAACAGTGGAAAATGTAATTAAGGAATGTTAATTGAAACGCGTCTCGAAATGAAATAAATATATTTAAATAATGATCGATGTTTCAGTTCAAGTTGCGAGACGTATTGTAAAATAATGCGAAATAATATTCTCTTCAGAAATAATATTCTCTGTATAAAAATAATATTCTCTAAAAATAATATTCAAACTTCACAAATAATAATATAATAATATTCTCTATATAAAATAATATTTTCTAAAATAAATATAATAATAATATTTTCTAAACAATATTTTCTAAAAATAATATTCAAACTTCATAAATAATAATATAATAATATTCTCTTCAAAAATAATATTCTCTAAAAATAATATTCAAACTTCACAAATAATAATATAATAATATTCTCTTCAAAAATAATATTCTCTATATAAAAATAATATTCTCTAAAAATAATATTCAAACTTCACAAATCAATTTTTCAAATCTCTGGACAAAATAATTCATAGGGCCGTGATCTGACATGCAACGTTCGAAACACAGACGCTGGACGATGCGACACGTTTCACTTTTCAAAGTTTCACGTGGAACTTGAACACTTCCTCGATCATACGTTAGAAAGTAAATGCAGCAAGAGTAATTAAATTTTGTTACGTAACGATGGAACCCATTCGAGGCCGGACTGGACTATCACAGCGCTTGACAGACTGTAGACTTTTATGCAAATTTTCATTACACCGAGTAGCTAGAAAAATTATTACGCGCGCTAAATATTTTCTAAATTGTTACACGCTCTAAATAAAATTGTTACGCTTTTGCTGAATATTCTGTAGAGCATAATTCGTTGGATAATTCATAACGTGCATCTTGTACAATCTTGCAATGCAGAGAAGTATCGGTAGTTAATTAAAAAATTCTTTCCCTAACGAAGTCTAGTAATAACCAAAATAATTTATGTCAACAAGAACGTAATTCTCGCGCAAGATGAACGCAACGATAACAATCTCGAATCGTGTTAAAACTCCGTCGTGTTTGCGCTCGCATCGAGGATGAAATTCTAGCGTGAAAATTGATCGCGCGACGTTTCGCGTTAATTATCTTTATCAACAACGCGTTTTGTTGCGCAAACACGGTGTCCAGCTGTACGTTTAATACTTGCAGCGCCCGACAAAGCACACACCGGCTGCGCCAGTTTAAATTTAATCAACGGTTCGCTCGGTCCCCTTTAAAACGGGATTATAGTACTTCGCAACTTGTTCGCAATCTTCCTTTCGAGGTGACACGATTTCGATAGTGGTCTGTCCGGCTTCTCATCGTATCTCGTCGCCGCCACGCTGAAAAATCTCCAATTTTTCCAAATTTCGCCGCGCGTTTTCAGCGAACGATCCTCGAAAATTTCAAAGCGTCAAACGTACGTATAAAGCGACGAATTATAACTTGGAAAAGTTTCGATATCCGCTCGACTGTTCCTTGTCTCTCAACGTTTAGATGATAAACGCTCGACACGGAAGGAGGAATTCTGGCCTTCTTCAAGGGACCTAATGCATATCAATGTATTGGCCTCATTTTTTTCTCCATTCCGCGGTGATCCAACCCTAAAGCCTCGAGTTCGAAACTCGCCTAACCGTTGAATACACTCTCCTCTCGGGTTCGTTCGAAGCTACCCGTTCAAAAGAATTGCCGCTCCGTTCGAATTAAGCCGGAAGAACACGATTTAATCGCGCGGACGATAGAAATAAGAGTTGAAACAATAATTAATTAAATTCTTCTCCGTTCGAGGCAAAAACTTCTCCGTTCTATGCGTATATATATTACAAAATTCACTGCAGATGTTTCGACGACGCAATTTATTACATTTTATTTTATTTTACGACGCGACGATTTATTATATTTTATAATATATATATTATAAAATTCACCGCAGATATTTCGACGACGCAAGAAACCACACTATACACTTTTGCTGATGACACGGCCACACACGGAGGAAACAGATCATTCAATGCTACAACAGCACTCGTTACAAATTGAAGAATGGCTAAATAAAAGTGAATGCAGATAAATGCAAGAACATTACGTTCACGTTAAAGAAAGGAATTATCCCGCCTATCATGTTAAACAACGTAACCGTTCCCCAAACTAAGATAGTAAAGCACTTGGGTAATCACCTAGATTCAAAACTCACGCGGAAGCACCATATACGAGCACCAAACTCGATCAAATTCGCATAAAAAGAAGAGAGATGTATTGACTTATCAGTAAAAGCTCGAAGCTTTTAATGCAGATAACAAATTATTAATCTATAAAGCCATTTGGACATACGGCATCGAATTGAGGTATGGCAGTCACATAGCTAAATTAGAAACGTTACAATCCATTATTCTCAGAACCATCGTCAATGCATCATGGTATATAGATAACGATGAATTACGCAAATATCTGAGAATTAAGTCAGTATCAGACGAAGTCTATGTTGGCAGATGCAAAACACGATTAGAAAATCACCGTAATAACCTAGCCAGGAACTCGTACGCAACAAATTTTCCTAAACGATTACACAGGAAACATCCAAAGGGCCAGCTACCTGAACAACATATGTTGTAATTACTATACAGATGCTTACTAGCGAGGAAGCATCTACGTGATGTTGACTCAAACCGCTACATCAATTTCCCTACTGGACAAATTGTACCATGGAGATGAACAAGAAAATATATATACACATGTATGTGAATGAAGAAAAAGAAGCACGCAGTGGCAATTTTCTCTAGATTCTCTAGAGGTTTACAACTTGGCTAAAAAAAAAAAAAAAAAAAAAAAAAAAAAAAAAAAGAAAATATATATATATGTAAAAGAAAGAAAAGAAACACGCAGTGGCAATTTTCTCTAGATGCCATTCAAGTTTCCAACTTCGCTAAAAAAAAAAGAAGAAAAAAAAAAAAAAGAAAAGAAAGCGAACGGCAACAGTGAGCGATAGATCCAATTAGACCCGCGACAGCGAACTTCGCTATCTGCTAACCACCGTGCACGCTCGTTTAATTGAAAACGCCGTAGTGCGTCGATCACTTCAACCAGTGAGGTCTACATATTTCTTTCTTCCTTTCTTTCTTCCTCTTTTTCTTTCTCTCTCTCTCTCTCTCTCTCTCTCTTGTCCAATAGTCTAGCATTATGGATTTCGCGGCAGCAACTCATCAACATCGTCCCGCTGTGACAAGGAGCTTCCTGTTCGTGGCCGTTAGACGTGTCAATCCGCTCCGAGTCCCGGGAGAACACGTTCGAGTCGCGGCGTCGTCGCCACGGAATCGCGAGTATAACAGTTTTTGTGGATTTCGCCGAGGCGAAAGAAGAGCGTCTTGTTTCGAGGTGCTCGTTACCTGCAGGCACGATCCAGGGGGTAGGTGTACCGTTTCGAGCTTGGTTACGTTGCTCGTTACCCGTTTCGTCGAATCACGTCTCCGCGATTACACGGTGCCGAGATACATCGAGATCCCGTTATCGTTCGCGATCGATTAACTCCCCTGATGGTGGCCTCTTTGTCGACAGCGCGGTCGACCATGCGGAATCCCGGACACACGGAAGGAACTTTCTTATTCGCGCTGTTTCCTTTTTCTATCCAGCTGGATCCAAGGATCTAGGGATCCGGTACGGCGATCGCTAAAGACGAGGTCAAGTATGTACTTAACGAATTCGGGTCAAGTTCTAGACATCTGTGCTTCGAATGCTATATGTGTATATATATATAGTATATAGTATATTTTTCTGTAGTATTTATATTTATAGTAAATATATATATAGTATATTTTATATATATTTTTTATTTATATTATTATTTTTTTTATATATATATAGTATATTTTTCTATACAGTATACTATGTATAGTATATTTTTCTATACAGTATACTATGTATAGTATATTTTTCTATACAGTATACTATGTATAGTATATTTTTCTATACAGTATACTATGTATAGTATATTTTTCTATACAGTATACTATGTATAGTATATTTTTCTATACAGTATACTATGTATAGTATATTTTTCTATACAGTATACTATATATAGTATATTTTTCTATACAGTATACTATATACAGTACATTTTTCTATACAGTATAGTATATTTTCCTATACAGTATACTATATATAGTATATTTTCCTATACAGTATACTATGTATAGTATATTTTCCTATACTATATATAGTATATTTTTCTATACAGTATACTATGTATAGTATATTTTTCTATACAGTATACTATATATAGTATAGTTTCCTATACAGTATACTATATATAGTATATTTTTCTTTACAGTATATTCTTCTATATAGTATACACTTCTATATAGTATATTTTTCTATATCTATATCATCTATAACTTTGAATAAATACGAAGCATAGAAAAGAGCAAACAATAAATAGAAAAATAGTACTCAGGTCTGTTTGGAAGTATTATTTTACTCGTGAGACATTCGAAACTATTTCACTTGGAAGTACCGTTTTAAATACGGTAAAGAGTTCAAATCCAATCAAAAGTTCGAATCTACTTGCTCGAAAAAGTTCGAAAATACTTGATCCTATCTCTAGCGATCGCTGGAGGAATAGAATTCAGAATAATCACCGAGGAACACGAAATGACACTCGCTTCACTATCTACCCTCTTCTTTAACTGTAGTTTGCGTACTTCACTTCCGTTTCTTCTTCTTCTTCTTCTTCTCCTTCTTATTTTCCTTCCTCGTTTAATCGGACGCGCCCTCAACGGCCACGTCTTTGCTCGAATCGCGCCGGAAGTTCATGAAAAACGCGCGGCTTGTTCGCGAACGTAGCAGCGATACAAAGGCGCGATACGACGTCCGCGTATGAAAGACTTTCTCACATTTTCAACGTCAGCGCGCTATCAAACTCGATGACACATTTTTCCGCTTTTATCTGCCATCGCGTGAAACACCCAATCGGGCACAGCCCCCTCCCTCCTCTTATTTATCCTGCTTCTTCTTCTTCTTTCGTCAAGTGTGCAAACGTCCGCCGTTCGAGGAAACGAATTTCTGCTCGACGTATCGATAAACTCGCCGATAATTCTTGAGAAACGGTGAAAAAAAGAAAAAAGAACGAAACCGTCGTCGATGAAACGGAGTAGGAAGAAATTAACACTGGAACTACTTTAAAATTTTCTAATCTCAGAGACGTTAAACCAAAAAAAAAAAAAGAAAAAAAGAACAGAAGATTTCTATAATACAGTAGGGCACACGAGCTTTTGTTTGCTTGTTGTATTTTGTGAAGAATCATACGAGTTTCTAAAATTCCACATTGCTTTATATCTATATAAAATCTAAATATCTGAATATCTGAATATCTAAATATCTAAATATCTAAATATCTAAATATCTGAATATCTGAATATCTAAATATCTAAATATCTGAATATCTGAATATCTGAATATCTAAATATCTATATATCTATATATCTAAATATCTAAATACCTAAATACCTAAATACCTAAATACCTAAATACCTAAATATCTAAATATCTAAGTACCCAAATATCCAAATATCTAAATATCTAAATATCTAAATACCTAAATACCTAAATATCTAAATATCTAAGTACCCAAATATCCAAATATCTAAATATCCAAATATCTAAATATCGAAATATCTAAATATATAAATATTTAAATATCTAATTATCTAAATATCTAAATACTTAAATACCTAAATATCTAAATATCTAAAAATTATCAGCTGGCCATATTGACCATCTTGGTGGTATTCTAGTGTCAATCTACGAAGCACTTCGGGAAACACACGGGCGATTCCAGGCACGCGTTACTTTTACACGTTGCAAATTAGCGCGCGGACAGCGCAAGAGTGATTACCGTTAGCGATGCGGTAATTACTCGCGAGGCAAGTGACTCGTTATGGTCGCGTGAAATGCGATTTTTCCAGTTCGCGGCGACCGGAGCTGGATCTGTTCGCCTATCTGCGCCTATCCGTTTCTGAACGTTGCAACTTAGAACGTCGCATCGGCCGACGCGACGCTAATTAGTTGCCGTTCGAACAATTGCCAGCAACAGGCGGATCACATTGTTCGTCAACTGGCGAACGACTCCGTGGCAATAACCTGAACACTTCGTCACGTTCGTTCGTTTGCATAGACTGATTTTCTAAGTTGGAAGCCGAGTTCGCGCACGCGAGCAATCTTCACGCCGATATCTCCTCGGTTAAGAGAAGAACTTTCCTTCGAATTTTTCAGCTATTCGCGGAAATTTTACGTAGATTGATATAATGAGATTTCCCACGATTACGAAAAATAAATGGAGTTGTGAGCCTCTTGAGGTTAAATTAATTATACCGATGCTAGAATCATCAGAGTGGTCAAAATAATTATACTAGTTACTATACGTAGACTTGCAACGATACACTTTTTCAGAGATTTGATCTCTCTGAAGTTTCTCTTACGGGAAATAAATAGAATTCTGTGCCTCTCTGAATTAATTATATAATTATGTGCTAGAATTACCAGAGTGGTCAAAATAATTATACTAATTATTACATGTAGATTTACAACCGATGCACTTTTAGAGATTCGATTTTTTAAGATTATTGATGTTAGAATTATCAGTGAATGGTCGAAATAATTATTATATATAGATCTGCAGCATTTACAATTTACAAAGGTATCGTTACTACATAGAGATTTTAGAGAATATTAATTTTCTAAAGTTTCTCTTACAAAGAGTAAATGGAATTACGAATCCCTCGAAGTGAATCAATCAATTAATACTGATACTAGAACTACCAGAATGGTCAAAAAACGGAACCAATCCTTACATTTTTCACCGAAATTTCACGCGGATATTCGTCCAGTTTTTCGTAAAAGAAAATAAATAAAACTCTTCCTACATCCCTTTCAATTTGGTAGTTCTAGCGTTAACACCGACGTCAAAGGCGTCCACGATCTCCTTTGCGAATAAATCCAATTGTGTTTCGTCTGTTTCACGTCCACGATACTCACTGTGTCTGTGTCTGTGTGTGTGTGTGTGTGTGTGTGTGTGTGTGTGTGTGTGTGTGTGTGTGTGTGTGTGTGTGTGTCTGTGCTTAAACGATCGCGATACGACCGGACAGTTCCGCGCTCGTTTACCGCTCGTTACTCAACAACCCGGCGAAACTTGGTCGAGCCAAGGATGAAATATCGATCGGTGGTTTCCGGCGACGCGTCGCGCGAGCGATCGAGCAGCCACGCGGTAACCTTTCTGTTCTGCCGTGAACAACCGGAAGGAAGATCGCGAGCGGGTGGAGCGATCGTTCTCGATCGATCGCTGGATCAAGGATAGACAGGCTGGCACACTCGGTTGGCACGCGATACTCGACCTGACAACGGATCGAAGTGCCGGAGGACTGTTTTAGTGGCTGCTCAAACGTATCGCCAGTGGCAGTCGCTCCCTTCTCTCGATCTACGGCATCGTACTCTCCTCTCCTCTGTCTCTTGCCACTCGACAGCCACCTCCACCTCCGCTAGTCCACCTCCAGTCTGACAACCTTACGGGGACCCTGGCGAGAGCGACGGTGGAGGGAAAACGTTGCGCGAAACGTGCATCGGTTTAACCACTTGCGCTGGCAAACTGATTCGCGGACCATAACGAGTGACCGAACCGTACGCAATAATTCGTCGCTTTCTTTTCGAACACGTTAGTACGATATCACCGGATAGAAAATTATTGAGAGGTAATATTTGGTTTATTATTTGTTTTGACTGGGATATACCTAAAACTGAGGAAATATTGCAACTTTTGCAAATTCATGGTAAACTCAGTCAGGAAAGAAATTTTCCAACTTTTCTGAGAGAGAAAAAGTTTTTCGAAAAGGAGTAGAACCTTTATGATGTAAGAATATTTCCATTGAAAATGAATTCAGAAGCTTCACGCTTTAAAAAATGAGCACAGATCGTACGATCTTTCATTACGAAATATTATAACAGTGAAAATATTTAGCCTACGTAAGTTTAAACCAGCCATTAGTGTAATTAATAACGAGAAATGACTCCTCCTATGATCCTTTCAATCCCTTGCGCTGGCAGCTGATTGCGGACCATAACGAGTGACCAAACCGTGCACAATAATTCGTCGTTTTCTTTTCGAACTCGTTAGTACGATATCATCCGATAGAAAATTATTGAGAAGTAATAAATTTATTATTTGTTTTGCCTGGGTTGTACTTAGATATATTTAAAACTGAGGAAATACTGCAATTTTTGCAAATTCATGGTAAACTCAGTCAGATTTTCCAACTTTTCTGAGAGAGAAAAAGTTTTTCGAAAAGGAGTAGAACCTTTACCTCGCCACTATGATGTAAGAATATTTCCATTAAAAATGAATTCAGAAGCTTCACGCTTTAAAAAATGAGCACAGATCGTACGATCTTTCATTACGAAATATTATAACAGTGAAAATATTTAGCCTACGTAAGTTTAAACCAGCCATTAGTGTAATTAATAACGAGAAATGACTCCTCCTATAATCCTTTCAATCCCTTGCGCTGGCAGCTGATTGCGGACCATAACGAGTGACCGAACCGTACGCAATAATTCGTCGCTTTCTTTTCGAACACGTTAGTACGATATCACCGGATAGAAAATTATTGATAGGTAATATTTGGTTTATTATTTGTTTTGACTTGGATATACTTAAAACTGAGGAAATATTGCAACTTTTGCAAATTCATGGTAAACTCGGTCAGGAAAGAAATTTTCCAACTTTTCTGAGAGAGAAAAAGTTTTTCGAAAAGGAGTAGAACCTTTATGATGTAAGAATATTTCCATTGAAAATGAATTCAGAAGCTTCACGCTTTAAAAAATGAGCACAGATCGTACGATCTTTCATTACGAAATATTATAACAGTGAAAATATTTAGCCTACGTAAGTTTAAACCAGCCATTAGTGTAATTAATAACGAGAAATGACTCCTCCTATGATCCTTTCAATCCCTTGCGCTGGCAGCTGATTGCGGACCATAACGAGTGACCGAACCGTGCACAATAATTCGTCGTTTTCTTTTCGAACTCGTTAGTACGATATCATCCGATAGAAAATTATTGAGAAGTAATAAATTTATTATTTGTTTCGCCTGGGTTGTACTTAGATATATTTAAAACTGAGGAAATACTGCAATTTTTGCAAATTCATGGTAAACTCAGTCAGATTTTCCAACTTTTCTGAGAGAGAAAAAGTTTTTCGAAAAGGAGTAGAACCTTTACCTCGCCACTATGATGTAAGAATATTTCCATTGAAAATGAATTCAGCATTGGAAAAGTAGAAGCTTCACGCTTTAAAAAATGAGCACAGATCGTACGATCTTTCATTACGAAATATTACAGTGAAAATATTTAGCCTACGTAAGTTTAAAGCAGCCATTAGTGTAATTAATAACGAGAAATGACTCCTCCTATGATCCTTTCAATCCCTTGCGCTGGCAGCTGATTGCGGACCATAACGAGTGACCAAATCGTACACAATAAATCGTCGTTTTCTTTTCAAACTCGTCGGTACGATATCACTATTCTCAAATTATTGAGAAGTAATAAATTTATGTTTTGCTTGGCTTATACTTAGATATACTTAAAACTGAGGAAATATTGCAACTTTTTGGGACAAAAAAATTCTCCACGTGCGCGGCATGTCATTCTAGCGCAAGAGTTTAACCGCTTGTAAGCTCTTAGCGCGTCGCGCATAAGCACGCAAGTACGTATCTGCACCTCTTATCCCGGCGATCCATGTTGTCGAGGATTTCATCAGAGGGCGGTGAAAATGTCAAAATGTCGTCGGTTAGGCACTTGCGTGGATTCGAATCTCTTTCGTTCCACAATTTCTCTTTTGTTTATTTGTTGCGTTTTTTTAAAGAAACGTTTTACAAAAAAATCGTAATTTCTATAATATTATTCTGTAATGTCATATATATTTCTGCAGTATTATTTTTAACTTAGTTTTTGTTTAATTTAGTTTTCTTAAGAAATAACGTTGTGTGATCGATTTTACAAAAAAATTGTGATTTCCATAATATTATAGAGAAACAATGTCAAAGCTTACAAATAACGTAGAAATCATTTGAGGCAAATAATAAATAAAGTAATGTAAAATAACAGAAGTTGTTTCTATCGAATCGAGCTACGATAGAAGACTTTCTAATTGAAAGAAATGGCAAAGTGCAAGGATGTCAATGGAATTTATTCGAATGGAAATCAACAACGTAACGAGATGTGGAAATTAGCTCGATTCTGAGCTAGTTTAATTGTTTGAAACTAGTTTTCAAGGAAGTGAGCCACATATCGAGGATGTACGAAAAGTACTCGCGAAATTTGGAAAGTTGCTTACCGTTATTTTCATTGTAAATTACACATTTCACGCGTGAGCGTTATACTTTCTGCACGTGCGTGCTTAATTCACGCGGAAGTAGAAATTTCTAACAGGCAGCTTTGTGATACTTTTTCCAGGTGAAAAGTAGAAAATATACGCTGTTGTACCATTCTAATTAACGACGTATTAATATCTCTCTCTCTCTCTCTCTCTCTCTATATATATATATATACTTTCTTAGAGATTTCTCAGAGCACAATATTTCTATCAATTTGTTGACAATTGTGACTAACTATTGCTTTCATAATTTCAACGTTTTATAAATAAAAACAATTCATAATTTCAACGTTAAATAAATAAAAACAATAATAAGCAATATTATCTCGACAATAAATGATCGATCAAATCGTTCGGTTAATATCGATTAAATCATTGATTTTCAATAATTATTTACATTGAAAGAAACATCTTATTTTAACTGAGAAAAGTGTGTAAAATAAAAAAGTAAGAATCGAAACGCAGAGACAGGTAGCGCACGCGTTGTTACGTGCAACGTGCGATTACTTTTTTTTTTACTTTCAACTTCCGACAAAACCCTTTCGTCGTTCCTCTTTCTCCATTATCCTCCCTCGCAAAGCGTCACCTCTGCTTTCACTTTCGTTCCAATGAGTGGAGGCTCGCGAGACGGGCAGCGGCACCGGTGTACGCAAGCATAAAATACGAGTTGATTCAACAGAGTACACAGGCCGTACACGGCGGAACGTTTGCTCCGTATTATTCATTTTTCATCTTTAGCGCGAAGGAAGTGGTGTGCGCTTCCCGCGTTTCCGCGAGATTCCTCGAATAACACTCCGGAGAGGTTGATGATAAAAAATTCCACGTGAAGCTCGGCGAGGCATTCGTTTTTTTTTTTTTTTCTCCTCCCTACTCACGCGCGAACGATGCAACTTACACCTCGTAATTTTTCTGGCGTTTCTGCGAAAAGTATTCGCGAAAGTATTCCAACGCTGGCGGAAACATTTTATGAAACTTTTTTACGAATACATCGCGCCGGGTTTTGTACGAAACGTTCTGTTGAGTTTCATTAACGCTCGTGCATTTTTTTCTTTCTTTCTTTCTTTCTTTTTTTCTTTTTGGAAATTTAATTTTTTTTTGGCAAAGCAAATTTCTATCGCGCGTACGAAACGAAATGAAATTTTTTTTCTTCTACGGTAAGTGCCAGTTTGAAAATTTGCAAAAGATATTAGCGTACGAAAAAAGGGAAAAGCGTAGACGAGTTACCATTGTAACGAGCGTAATATTCCATAAACGGAGATTATATGAATTCCGCGTCGTTCAACCTACGAAATTACGGAGAACGGTCCCCGTACGGTTTTTTATTAAACGTGAAAAGTAGCGCAGCTTGCGCAACATCGAGATTACGCGTTCTTTATACAGTAATCAACTACTTGGGCAATCTGTCCAATTGTGAGTTATATTCACACGCGCATGAGGTCATTTCTGCCGGTGAGGAAAGCAAGTTTTACAGTTTCGTTGCATACATTCGCGCGTTTCTATTCTATAACAGAACACGAAATATAATCAGAGAGAAACGAACTTTCCTTCCCTTTCTTTCCTTTACGTTCTTCCGATAATACGAGTACTCTGTAGCAAAATTATTTCAATTGGGCTGTATTCGAATCCAAACATGCCTTCTAAATTTTCACGAACAAAAAAAAAAAAAAAATCGACAAGTGTATTATATTGACAAATATTGCGTCGAATGAATCTCGCGATCTGCCTGTCGTCTGTACCGACAAATTTGCGAAGAATAAATAAGAGAAAAAGGGAAGAGAAACATTCGCAGACACACACGTTAGCCGGATGATTTCGGTTCTCGTCGAATTCATCGCCAGTGGCGATGACTCTCCTCCCTTCAGTCTCTTCTCGAGCTGTGCCCACCCTTCCCCACAATCTTTCCCTCGTTTCCTTTTTGTTATTTTTTTTTTTCTTTTTTTCTCCCTGCCGGGAGAACTCCTTCCGTCTCGTTCCTGGTGGAG